TTGCATTTTGAGTCCCATGGTACATGAAGCAACTCATTGTTTTTACTTTCTCCATATATTATAGAAGGTTCTTATTTCTTCTCTGCGAATGTTGCAGTATACACCAGCAATAGATATTTGGAGCATTGGATGCATCTTCTCTGAAATTTTAACAGGAAAGCCTCTCTTTCCTGGAAAGAATGTAGTTCACCAGTTGGACTTGATGACTGATCTATTAGGAACACCTTCTGCTGAAGCTATTGCAAGGGTCAGTTTCCTGTCATATAACTTGTCCTAGTAAGGATGCAGATGTAATTTTTAATTTATTTAGTGTTAACATACCATCTTATCCCGATTTATGCAACCATTGATCTTGTCTTTTGCATGTATAGGTACGTAATGAGAAGGCCCGCAGATATTTAAGTAGCATGCGCAAGAAAAAGCCTATACCTTTCTCCCAAAAATTCCCAAATGCAGATCCCCTTGCTCTTCGTTTATTGGAAAGGATGTTAGCATTTGAACCAAAGGACCGACCTACCGCTGAGGAGGTACTGTAGAAAACTTCTTTTGTCTGTTTCAAATGTGTAACTTATGCTCTTTCTAACAGAGGAAAGTTGTTCCACAAGATGTCAGGCTTTGGCAGATCCCTATTTTAGGGGCTTGGCCAAGGTCGAGAGGGAACCTTCTGCTCAACCAGTAACTAAGATGGAGTTTGAGTTTGAGAGGAGGAGGATAACAAAGGAGGATGTACGGGAGCTCATTTACAGGGAGATTCTTGAATACCATCCAAAGATGTTGAAAGAGTTTTTGGAGGGAACAGAATCAACTGGCTTTATGTATCCAAGGTATCGATAACACAAAACTCTAAACCTAGACATTGGACGTTAGAGATCCAGACATGCTAAGCCAGTCCAATGAAATTCATGCCATTAACATATTCCCATATTTTCTACATTTTTTTTTTGATGAATGTGTACATATACTTTTGCTTAAATATTTGTTTCTGAGGTGGATTCTTTTGGATAATTAGTTTCCTGAGTTTGATATCTGTCTGTTCCCTATTTCTCAGCAAAATTAAAAAAAAAGGCCATTACCCAATGTTGGTTCCAGCTATCTGGGGTCTTGGGAGGGGTAGATTGACTAATGACAATGACCTAACCTAGATTCTCAGTAATAACATGAATCTAAAAAATCTGAAGCTTCTTTAAATAAAATCTTAACAGATAAAAGAAGAAAATCTAGATCTCTATTGCAAAGGGTTGCACAAGTGGCAAAATTCAATTAATGAAGTCAGACCATGGACCAGATGTCAACTTCATTTCAGTGAATATATCAAGCTCAAGGCCAGCCTAATGTGGGCTATGCTCTGATATCCTTTGGGAACCATGGCCTTTCTCCACCTGTACTCATGCATGATGAGGCTCTAATCATTGACGATATAAATATTAATGAGAATGACAAATTCCCTTAATCATGAAGCCTTAAACCCTCAAACCAAATGATAGTATAAAAGGCCATTGTTGGTTCCAGCCATCTGGGGCCTTGGGAGGGGTGGACTGGATATGGACCAAAGCTCTCTCTCTCTCTCTCTCTCTTCTCTTCTCTTCTCTTCTCTTCTCTTCTCTTCTCTTCTCTCTCTCTGAAAAAATTAACCACTCTTCGACTCAAACCCATGTTCTCAAACTTCTGAACTCGAGATTTTACCATTGCACACCAGCTCAAATAATGTAATTCTCATTTAATAATTCATTAAAACTAATTATACAAGCCAAATTCTTGAGTTAATTTTTTAAGGTAAACTGTGAAGTTTCGTTAAAGAGAGGGGGGAGGGATGTAGGAATAGAAAAAGATGATGAATAGAATGGGGGAAAAAAAGCATTCCCTTACACTGTGCAAGCTAATAACATAAACAAGAAGCTCCTATTGGTAACACCAACTCATTATGCAGACTTCCCAACTAACCTTTGACCTAGCGAGACTATCAGCTATCAAAGGTCCTTAGGAGTCCATCTTGTTCTCAAAAATCAAATTTGAATCTGGGGTTGTTTCATATAACACTAAGCTGAGACTTGTGGCATTTAAATTTAAATTTCCTGTGCATATACTCAAACAATAAAAAGCTTGAATTACACAATTGAAGCAGGAAAATTTATGTTTCTGTTCAACCATTAATTTTGAGCCTTTCTGAACAGATCGAAGATGCAATTATAGGACTGCAATAAACCATTTTACTGTTGAAATTTTTAGAGCGTAGCTTAATCTCCATTCCCATATGACTTGACTTTGTTACTGTTCTTGTTACTATTATTTACAGTGCTGTTGAACAATTTAAGAAGCAGTTTGCATACCTTGAGGAGCATTATGGAAATGGTGCAGCAGTTGCTCCCCCTGAGAGGCAACATGCATCATTACCCAGGTACTCTAACTCGGATCATGTCATTCTCCTCTCCATCTGTTTGTTAGGGTATCATACATAGTACTGATGGAACTTTTATGGATGCAGACCATGTGTATTGTACTCAAACAACACAGCACACAGTTCATCAGAAGTCACTGATGATCTCTCCAAATGTTGCATTAAGGAGATTGAGAAGCCACAACCAGACAGGGGTTTTGGTATTCCTACAACTAAGGTTCCCCTCCAAGTACCTCAGAGACTCCAAGGTGAGTTTAATTCTTTCACTTATCTTGGCCACAAGTAGTCTTACTGGACTAGAACCAATTCTTTCTTCGTGTTCTGTTCTATTTTACCCTTTTCCCTTTCCATGTTCATCTTTTCTGGAGGTTTGGCTTGATATTTTCCAGGTAATGATTAGGTGGTTGGTTGCCTTAGTCTCTGCAGTCTTCTTGTTATTATATTTATGACAAAATAACAGTGTAATTATGTATTTATTGCTTTTCGTGGTTCTGTAAATTGTGTCCACAAAATAGAAAGCACAACATTTTGATTTTTAAATTTGATGTAGGTTGACCTTTAGCTGAGCTAATGTTATGATTGTTATCAAAGTGCCGGCTGGTCAATGACTAGTTTTGAGGGCCAGACCAACTGCATCACTTACTATTCAGTCAATAATCATGATGAACCAATCCTAGACTAGGTTGACTACTCAACTAATGACCAATCAACCTAGTCAACCACAAAATCATTTTAAAGCTTTATTTATTTGCTTGCATCTCTAGTTATTTGAAATATATGTTTGCATTTTGTTGTTTTCATGTTGTTGCTTTAAATATTTGTGATAGAACATGTTTTGATGATGGTGTATAAAATTGGAAAAAAGCACAAAATATGGCATCAGAGGAATTGCTTTTTTCTTCTATTCTGTGGTGTGCTCATTCAGGTGGGTGGATGAGTTCCCTGCTTAGTTGTTTGTCTGAGTCAACAAAATCTCTGACAATTCTGCCCTTTTAAAGGGTAGGAAAGCAACTAGAAATGTGATGGCTCCAACACTCCGCTAATAGATACCAAGTTCACCGGTGTCTTGGTTGCCAGCTGGAACATGTTATCCAACTTATCCTAGGCCTGACAGAGATATCCTCACTAAGAAAGATTATAATGATGCATCTTTTAAGGTTTGAATGTATTTTATAGGATACCATGTTATCATAGTAACTTACCTTGGTGTTTGTTTTTTTCACCCTTCTTTTGTATTTCTGCCTTGTGGCCTTTTTGGCCTCTACTTTCTTCTTTAGGCTCTGACTCCTGAATTCTTCTCTCTTTTCCTAGACAAATCCTGGGCCAGGTATTCAACTCAAACTCAACAAAGCGTTGTCCAAACCATATCGGTGGACTACAAATCTGGAAAACAGAATTACTGATAAAAAGAGCATTATAAATGAATAAACCAAGTTGGATCTTTGTTGCCTCCAACTGATCTGATAATGGTAGCACAAATATGATAAACATATTTGTAACCAGTGTTTTGTTACAGGTACAACTGCAAAGCCTGGGAAGGTTGTGGGCTCAGTATTGCATTATAATAACTGTGGAACAGCAGCAACAGAAGCTCTTGAACAGCGAAGGATAGTCAGAAACCCTGCTGTCTCAAGTCAGTATGCTCCCGGATGTTCATATCCAAGAAGGAACCCCAGCTGTAAAAACGAGAGTGGAGAAGGTGAGGGGCTTGAAGGATCAAACTCCGTGCAGCCAAAACCTCAGTTCATTGCAAGAAAAGTTGCTGCAGCTCAGGGTGGACCTGGGGGTCACTGGTACTGATACCACGAAGGGTCTTCACTCTTCAGTGGTTATAAAAAATACGTTTATTACTCAACATTGAGAGTAAATCAGATTACCACCATGCATATTCCTTGTCCATCAGTTACCGTTGTCAATTTGAACTTCCTAGAGATGGAATGGAGTTTTCCATGAATTCAATTGGTCATATCTCAGCAGCAGAGCTTGAATGGTGTTGACTATCCTCCCTGACCGTTGGGTAGTAGAAATGGGGGTTGTTAGTTTAGTCGGGTTACATTTCTAATGTGAAGTAGATAAGAGGTATGGGTGGATAGGCCACGGCCTTGTTAATGTGAAAGGCAAAGGATAGATTTAAAGTTCATAACGGAGGATAAAGGAAGGGAGAAGATCTATTGTTATAGGATAAATCTATGACGCTGGAAAGGTATGATACTGGAATAACTTAGACCAATCAACCACCCCACCTCACCCTTATTGTGAATTTTGATGAATAGCACCTGATTGGTTACCTCTTTCATGATACTGGTTATAGGTTTTTCTGGTATCATGTCATTCCAGTATCATAGTTGAACCCGTTATGTCATCTTTTTATGACTTTTAGTTCTTCAGTGTATGATACATGATTCTCTTCTCGATATCATTGTTTGTATGTCTGCATATGTAAAAATGTGCTTGGACAAGGTTCCAAGAGCTTCAGTGAAAAACAAGTTTGGAAAACGATGGTTTTGGAGGTTATAGATGAGAGTACACACCATATATGCTACAATATCATTACAATTCAGGAGGGAAGGGCTAGATGGTGTTTTATTACCTTGTAAGAAAAGATCCGGAGGTCTATCTCGCATTTGGGGCCCCAGAAAACTCTGTATTGGGCTACCAACATTTTATGTAAAGAAAGCAAGGTAGCAACAAGCCACCTGTAGGTGTTGTAGTTAATTTTGCTTTAAAGAAATGATGTCAGATGGAGGAATGATTATGCTAGCAAGAGAATGGAACAAGCGTCAGAATGTCTAGTTTTAAACTGCTTTATATTGCATCTGCCTTCAAACTTTTATCATGCAAGTGTTCAAAAAGTTCAAACATCTCTCGACTCTCGTAACGCTTCCGATGGCTTTCACTCTAAAAATATTCAATTCAAACTACGAAAATCGAATCGTCTTTATCAGTGTCGCGTTTCTTTACAAAATGCAAATAAGGTTATAACACGGTATTTAACGCGCGCCATTTACATGTACAAGAATCAATTCATTCATGTAGTAGCTGCTAATTGAGATTCGAGCCCATTCATGCGCAGTGCGAGGAGTCTTTACACAGCCACGTCAATCAAGCAAACTTTTCCCCAAGGAAACCACCCTTCACATTACAAGACATACATTAATTTTACATTTTCTTACAAAATGGAAAAGGTGAGAAGAATTGAAAATTGCCTTTTGTAATCCTTCTCGAAAGCTCTTCTAGTTCATTTCGATCTCTTCCCTGCTGCTTAAGCCGATACTTCTATATTCTCTGTTTCACCCGCCTCCCGTTGACATCACTGCCATCAAGAACGGCTTCATTCCCGTGCCTGCAGACAATAACAGAGTGCTCACCAACTCTAGCTACATACTCTAGGAGCTCAGTCAGGACAGAGGGACAGCTTTCCTTCAAATATTCAAACCCATCTGTTTGCATCACAGCTGCAATAGACAATGCAAAAACTCTTCATCTCACTACCGTGTCACAAGAAAAAAAAATTAGGAAAACCTAAGGCAATTACATCTTTATTGAAACTTAAGTTTTTACAATTACGCTCGCATGATACTGCTAGAGCTTGTAGTTTTTGCCTCAAAGAAAATATCGGTAGGACACTGCAACCAACTAGGACACACGTGCATTAATATAACTATTTCTTTTTTTTTTGATAATTCATACTATTTCTTTTAGGTTCTGTCCTTTTCCGTAAAAGGAAATAAAACCACTGAAATTCAACTATATTTCTACTTCTTTCACAGCAGAACAGGGTTTTCAGTTTTAGTAACAATACACAACCAGCCCTATAGAGCATGTCACATGCATGACAAAGAGAACATGGGGAAAGTGCCCAAAATTGAAATATAGAGCACCTTTTTACAAGTGTCCATGTGGATACATACAGGAGCCAGATCTTCACATTACTAGACTGCAAATGGGGCAAGAACCTTTTTTGTACCTTCCATGTCACCCAAACAGCCATTTTGTTCAGCACTGCTAGAATTACATTAATCAGACAATTTAAATGGAGGACCATCTCAAAATCTGTTGGTAATAATAGTCATTAAATACTAACCATGTCCTTTCTATTCCTGGAGGGTAAACCTAGCACCTGGCTAACCAATTTAGCATGCAAATTCAAATCTTCATGTAATAAACTCAAAACATCATTACAGTTGTAAATTACCTCTGCCATTACATATAGCACACTTGGGAAATTTTGAAGTTAAATAGTATAAAAGTGAATAAATCATGTTTACCTTTTAGGTTTTCAGGCAGAGCAACAAATTTGAGACACACAGCTTTAAGTTGGAAGCAGTGGTGCTGCTCTGCCAAGGCTAATGTAGTTGCCACAGTATTGATGGCAACATCCTCACAAAGCTTAGCCTCACAGAGCAATCTGAGCCTCTCAAGTCCATATCGGTCTGCTGCTGCAAGCATATGCTGCCCCATCAGTGTGGAAGCCCCTTTCGAGTTCAAACCAGTGAGTTCTTGCATGTCTGGTAGGTCATCCCAATATATGAAATGGAGTAAGGCCTGTAAAATGCACATCCACGAAAAAGAGAACAAGTCAAACACTTGCCATGACTGGCTTTCAATAAATTAAGGAACCAACCAGACTTCCAACACTACGCATCCCTACCATCTAACCACCCCCTCCTGAAAAAATAGACATAATTACTAGCCCTGAAAGAAGAATCAAAACTAGATGATCTTAACAATAATTATCATACCTGTAACATTTTTAGTTATCTAAATAAGAACCTAGTAGAAGAAAGGGCTAGAAGGAAGTTTTTCCTAGATTTGCTTTCAATCGTTTCGTTCTTTCCTTTCTCTGGAGTAGTTTACCTTCACAAGTTACACAAGGAAGGAAATCACGACCATTGGTTCCTCCTTGTCATCAGATGAAGTTCAAATAATAACTCATTTAACACTGTTCTAGATCGGTAGATCCAACTTTAAGTTTGACACTATTCTAGAGCCAATCACATTGAGTTTGGTCAGATAAGAGGGAATAGGAAGAGTTTTGGATATTAGGGTAACATATAGTGGCTTTGGAAGAATTCAAGTAATTGGTTTGAGCTGGGTATATATCTGCATCTATACCAACAATAACCTCAACAACTCTGTGATTCCAGTCTTGAGTTGCTCCATGAATCAGGAGTCAAGTATTGCCTTTTCCATTATGGGTTTCATCCCCCCAAGTAAGCAAAGGACTGAATTTATATGGTCACTATAAGACTATATGGAAAAACAAATGATATAGATATAGAATATGATGTTAACCAACAATAGTACAAACTTGACCAAGTTGAGGCTAGACTTGATACAACCATGGTAGCTCGCAACTGATGGCAGAAGCAAGAGGATAGGCACCACTGGTGTAAGATCTGTGAGTGAGAGCGGCACCTTAGGAGAAGAATTCAGCTATAGACTGGTGGATATGTAACGATCCTCTATGGCACCACAATTACTCACCTAAAAAAAATAACCAACTCAGCCAACTTCCCTATAGGCCTCTACAACATGATAAGCAACATTCCTCAACAGATAAAACAATGATTTCCAATAGAAATGCCTACATCACAAGGAAATGAGGTGAAAAATAAAGTAACATTCTGCACTGCTGAGATAATTGAAGGTGAAGAATATTAACTTGGAAACAATCACGTGATTTTTTTTCCTTTTTAATTCTTCAACAATATGAATTTTGTACCCTACCACATCAAAAAGGACAACTGGATCTTTCAGGAAAAAAATCTCTGTACATGATATATGGGTAATGTGAAAAATGCAAAACTAGTTACTTTGTCAAGATGAACAAAGTGATCAAATGTTGAAACAAGAAACATGAAGCAGAAAATAGAGAGATTTCTAAGTGATTAAATGTCCATTTTTGTTTTTCAGAGAGAAAATAAATTAGATAAAAGGCACGGTGCTAGAGGTCACCTAGCTTGTAAAAAGAATACTGCTGAAAGATGAATTTTGTATTATATTAGCACATAACCTGCTAACAGTAGAATGTATCATAATGGTGTACATTTTATTGTTCTTTTCTTATTCCTGTTTTAGCTCCTCTTAAAGGTATCTCATCAATTCTTCATAAAGTCTACAAACAAAAGCAAATAAATAATCAGCATGAGAGGAGCTTTTTAACCAACTGAATTGTGAATTGTATTTCAAAGCTTTCTATAATTCATATTGCACCACCCAAATGTATCCAGTAAAAAACTGATATTTTGTCCACTCAAGAGCCATTTATGGTGGTTTCTTCCCCTCAACATGGGAACATGAAGTTACAGGGACCCAAATCATTTATGGGTTCTCTGGTCCCAGATTCCCAGTTCCAGGCCTCTGTCCCCTGGCATGAATGTGATAATATAGAACAGTTTTGCAATTCTGTATATGGAAACCAAACAATTGAAATGTCGCTAACATTAATATTTATCTCACAAAGGCTAATATTGTGGAAGACGAAAAAAAGGGTGATATTGTGAAATAAACTCTAAGCATGATAACAATCATGAGAGCAAATTCTCCRATACATGCATCGGAGATAACAGGAAGGGGAGAAAATAGGGGTGCAGCCATAGTTTTCAAGGTGCCAAGGTGAGGCTAGGAAACAGGGGAGCACCTTGTAACCTAGTTGCCTAAGCAGCACCTAGGTGGATGGACTTCTTTAAATAAAACCTTGAATCCTAGGGTAATTCCCTAGGCTCCATAGAAACAACCAACCATCTTTTACTAGTAATTTTCTCTAACCTTGATAAAAATGTAAAAATATCATATCAAAACGTTGAAAATCATCATGTTCATAAGAAGAAAAAGAAGAAAGAAGAGAACTCAAAAAAATATAGGGGCACAGCCCTTGTTTTGGTCCTAAGAAAAGAAAAGAAAAAAGGTGGAAGAAGAATGTGTTAACTGGACAAAACTTTAATTTCTTCCTTGCTTATCGGTTGAAGTTTTAAAGTCTTTGAGGGTTCAGGACAACATACACCAACATATGTGTTGATTGAACCCTAACACATAAAAATTAATAAAAGTGCACAAATGTAATATGCTTGTTTTTTTCTAAAGGTGACCTACTCTGCAACTTCTGTGTTTTCTTAATTAGCAGCCAAGAAATTTACATCCAGACAAATTAAGCAAATGTACTTAAGATGTCACAAAGTTGCACAATAAGAAGTAAATAAACTTGTAGTAGGAAAAAAAGAAGTAAATGAACAACCTTAAAAACTGGTGCCTCCATGTCTTGAACCTTTATACATTCAGTATTTCGATCCTTCATTGGGCCAAAAAGTTGAGCCCTAAAGACAGGTGAGCGGGCTGCAAGCACCAATTTGTGAGCAGCAAAAATCTCCCCATCAACTTCAAAGTTCACATCAGTTCCCTTTCCACTTTCCAAGAGTTGCCCAAAGTGCTGCCCTATATTGGAGGTTGGCACTGTAATCAAGTAAAATTTTGGTCCCTCTGTGTGTGACCCAACAACACCAACGCTACAATGAACAGAGAGACAATCATCTTTAAGGTAGTCGGATGTCTCTAGAGCTGTTCTTTTGAAGAACCGTTTATAGCCCCTGCAAAGTCAAATAATTACACCTGTAAATATGTCTCTAGAGCTGTTCTTTTGGGAATGAACTTGGAGTGCAAGACTATACCCCAAATATTAAGTAGCATGGTCATCTATGTTATAGGTAAAAAAAAAATATATAACAAAAGTTTGCGCGTTAATATGTTATCTTATATCATTTCATGAATGTTATCCTCCACGCTAGAATTAGGAGAAAGGGGGGAAGGAATGATAAGATTTGTATTGCACCATAGGTTAAGAAAATTAAATTTCCATGTGAAACTGCTGCAGACTGCAGTATAAAATTGACAGAGTTTCTGTCCGACTTTTAAGTCGCATGATTTCTAGAAAATTAAGGTTCTGGAGCAGGCCAATTGTTGGTTCTCTGCCTTTTGTCTTAACATGGATTTATCTGCAGACCAAACAATTAAGCAACCCATTTTCAGTGAGATGAGTGATCTATCATTGTCATCCTTCATATGGTTTCAATTTTAAGTGCTCAAACTCAGAATAGCAGATCATGCACCGCCTACAAACTTTGGTGCTCAAAAATCCAAAATAAACAACGAAGAAAATTAGGAATAAATGAAACACAAGAAAATGGAAAAAAAATGAATATCGGAAATCCAAAATTAAAACATTTTGTTGATAATTCCTTCCAGAAATTTATAGAAGTCGTGGGGTAATGCAAGAAGAAAACTACAAATATTTGACCAGAAGGATCAAAAGTGAAGTCTATAAGGTTGCAGACATTTCCATATCTCTAGAATCTAAAATAAGGGGGAAAGAAGAATCTGAAACCCTAGCGACGATCAATTGGCATTGAAGACCCAAAAAACCAACAGCAGGTCCAAAATTTCCCGAACTTACCACATGCTTCCTCGGTATTTCAGAGTGTACGGTCCGCTCTCCAATGTCCTCCCAAAATGGCTGTGCACCTTATGCCTTTCCTTGCCACTCTGGTCCAAAAGCGTCATTTCGAAAAGGGCTCTGACATCCGTTCCCTCGCTTGCAAGCGCGATGAACAGAGACACATACGCAGCGTTGTCCTCGATGCTCTTGCCGTCTGGATAGAAATAGATCGCCCATGCATACCCACCAACCCAGAAGATGTCGGACGCGATATACTTGCCAATCCCTAGACCTTTCGAAAGAGAGTAACCGGTGATCTTGAATTGGTGAGAACCGTTAATTGTCTCTGTGGTAGAGGTGGATGTGGTGAGGGAAGGAGAAGAGGAAGAAGAGTCTCTGGAGGTTCCTCTGCAGATCCTACCCATGCTCATCCAACAAGGGAGATGAAATCCCTCAGAATCAAGACAGAATTGGAATTCTTATAAATGAATTAGGTTCTTAGGGTTTTCCTTGTCCCCGCAGGATTTCAAATTGGAGGGTGGTTCCGATCAACAATTTGCAGGGGTTCTGGGCAAGAATTAAACTGATGAATTGGACTGGTTGGGACTACGAATTAGGGTTGGGTTGCTAAATTTCTTCCGCTTCGCGATGCTTGGGGTATTTATTGGCGACGATTTCTTCCGCTCCGCGAGATCCAAAAATGAGCTTCTAGGGTTCCGTTTTCTAATATATAAGAAAGAATGTGAATGAATGTGTAGGAAGGGTGTCCGAGGCATGGAAATTGGGATCTTCTTGGATGCAGCGCTGACGGTTGTTGTCGTTTCTCAGTTCAACGCACGGGTGTGGGTTTTAAGCCTTTGTTTTAGTTTTCTGAAAATCGATCTAAAATTAGGGCTCGTTTGGCGCGCCTTATTGTTTTAGCTCTAATCGTCAAAAGAAACATTAAGCTTTTGACTTAAATCTAGACAGTCCGAAGACAATTTGGCAGACATGTATCTGCCCACCTCTTTCTTTGCAAGATTAAAATACGAAAGACGTGGGAAGTTCCATTTTTATTTGAGGTTTTATGAAATCAGTCCGAAATGGGTTTTTCGCATTTTTTCAACGCACCATCTTTTAACGGCTAAATCTTTCGTGAGCCAAATGGAAATAGACCGAAAATCGATCTTCCCAACTTGTAAACAATCGAAAGACCATACAGAAAGGCACACCAAATGGGCCCTTATTCATTCTTTTAAGTTYGTGTTACTAAACGAACCAGGATTTTTGGACTCCATTGTTAGGTAATAATGGCAAAGGGCAATGGCTGGTTGGTTGGGATCGTGACTTTGATTTGAGTGGACATGGGCTATGTTGGTGATGTTGCATGATCTGACTGCTCCCTACTGGAGGATGATATGGCTTCCAGTCGAATGGCGAGCTAAGTAAATCTGCAAAATAAGATTAGAGAACCAGGGGTGGCTAAGCCTGGTGAGGTCACTCCGATGCTTAAGTTAGTAAGCTATTGCGAGCTGAAATAGCTTTGAGAATGTAGAGAGCTAGAGAGCTAGAGAGCAGAGAAATCACGTGTACCTTATGCCATTGGGGTTGGAGCCTTTATATAGTTGAGTATTCGTGGGGCACAAGAAAGAGTTCCGGGATATCCGAGATGTGGAGATGGAGTTTGCTCCGCTTCTGAAGGAACAACATACAGGTAGGGCTTATCTCGTTCCTCCTCCGATTCCGGAGGAGTGAGGATAAGTGCTTATCATGATCCTCGAAAAGGTCAGGGTCTGTTAACTTATTGTGATCTCGAGGGATTCGGGAGTCGTCGGAGAGATCTCTGGAGTCGGTTACGTGTCGATTCGAGTTGTTGGTCCTGAACTGGTAATTCAGCCTTTTAGTTCCGAACTGGCTTGAATACCGAGGTGCCTCAATGCCGAGGTGAGACTTGCATCGAGGTGGCTTTGCTCCAAGGTGATCCTTAAGCCGTGGCCTTTGTGCCGAGGTGACTGAATATGCAAGCTCCATTGTTGTGAACTAAACTTGTCAGGCTGAGTTGTTATCTCTCGGTCAGGTCGTGTCCACGTGTCCCCTTTTTACTAGTCGGGCCAAATCACCCTTCATCAATTGCCCCCCACTCCCCGAGCCAGGGGTCCCGACCCGGTGCAGGGAGTTCATGATGAGTTCAGATGGATTTGGCCCGAGGTCCAGGTGGCTTGTCGGGCGAATCATTGGTCAGACCTGTTCGCCACCCGTTTCAACCAGGAATAACCCAGGTTGCATCTAGTCTACGCGTGGACGCCACACGATCTATAAACTTCGCGGACGTCAAAACACGCACTAAACCGATTTCAACCTCGGGGGTCGTGCAACCGCTTTTCCTAGGAGCCATTGGATCACTTCAATCTCGACCGTTGATTCTCGGACACAGTGGCTATAAATAGGGGGCCCGAGACTCATTTGCTTTGCCACAAATTCGCTAGCCTTCGATCAGAGGTTGCGTTCAAGTTCCTTAGCTCGGTCTCTTCAGTTCGGTGTCTTCCCGAGGTCATCTTCCTTCAGTTTGGTCTCTCTTTGGTGAGTCTTCCCCAGCTTTCCTTTTCGATTCCATGTCTTTTCCATATCTAGCTTTAGTTTCGACAGTCTTTTAGATGGGAGCGGTGGATCCGCTAGGGCCGAGGTAGGTACCTCGGCTTAGGTCGTAGATCGCCATACCGAAGAAGCTACTTCGGGTCAAGATGCGGTCCGCGATCCTCCTGAGGTGGAATCACCCCGGGAGGCGCAAGAGGCCTCAGGTGATCTGGCATCCACCTCGCATCGAGGTCGGCATCCAGATAACTTTGGCTCGTCGACAATGACGATGGACAGGCTCCTGTCTCTAGTAGCTCGATATAGGCTTCCGAGCAACTTAGTCTATAGTATTCCCCTAGGTAACTTTCCTTGGGAGCATGATCACAATGAGATCATGATCTTCGAAGAGCAGCTCGTAGCTGGTCTTCGTCTTCCACTTCACCCCTTGACTGTCGAAGTCATAAAACTTTTTAACATTATCATAGATCAGCTGCACCCAAACTCCATTCGTAATGTAGTAGGAACCATCTCCCTCTTCCACGACTATAACCTTCCTCTTGACCTTGATATCTTTTCTTCCATTCTCTCAATAAAGAAGAACTTCTCATGTGTTCTGATCGAACACAGGCGAACTTACTACCTATCCCCTCGTCCGAGCTACAAACTCTTGCACGAGCTCCCAAACAAGGTCCCGGCCTAGAAAAGGCGTTACTTCGTGGTCCGTGACACTGAGGGGTGGCCTTTCCCGACCCACTGGAGGGCGGCCATCCAAGATCCCGGTGTCAGGCTGGACCTGAAGATAAGGGAAGCGCTCTGACCTTGGGCGGAGCTCGGTCTGAAGTTCGTGGACTATGTGACCGAAGATAAGCTCGTGCAGGCTGGTCTGAGTCCTGGTAGGTCGTCACTTGTTGTGTTGTCTTTGTTTTATTTCGGTGTTGTTTCTAATTGTTTGCTTTTTGTTGCAGTAACTATGAAGATCCCTGCGACCGAACTCTTCGGTAGCATGAAGAAGGGAAAGAAGAAGCGAGCTTCCAAAAGAGCTCGTATTGAGTCTCCGCAGGCTGTCGTTCTAGAGCCCGAGTAGCCCTTATCCGTCGAGCAACCTCCGATAATCGATCTGGTCGAGGAGGAATCTGGGAAGGTCTCCCCGCCCCGCACACCCGAGGAGTCAACGTCTTTGGAGCCCGCCCATGCAGTTGTCGCTTCTTCAAGCAGCGATGAAGTAGCTCGGAGCATTCTGACTCCGAAATATAGCCTTCTCAAGAGCCAGTATACGCCAAGGAGGTTGCTAGCTGGGCTGAGCTGCTGGTCGCTCAGCTCGGAGCACGAGCGGCTACCCATTGTATGGTGGTAAGTTCTGTCTTGACTTCTTCAATTTTGTACTTTAACTTCTCTTATACTAACTCTTGTTCGCTTCTCTTGGCAGGTGAACTCCACTATACTTGCCCTGACTTATCAGTCCGAAGTGCACCTGAAGCGAGCTCTTGCAACTGAGTCTTCTTCTCGTGAGGCTCACGCTGAGCTAAATTTGGCCCGCAACGAAGTTAACTGATTAAAGAAGGATGCGTGGGATAAAAAGGAGTTGATAACACTGCTAATGTCCGAGAAGGAGGAGCTCGCGGGGTAGAAAGTGACACTGAAGAGGGAGGTGGAGAACCTTGAGGCCCAAGTAAAGGAGCGGATTGAGCTACTCCTTCAAGCTGTAGAGGAGGCCAAAGTCAAGGCCATCGAGGAATACAAGGCCTCGGAGGAGTACCGGAGGAAAATGGTCGAGGTGGGGACGGAGAGCTACCGCAAAGGCTTCAAGCTTAGTAGGTGCCTAACCCGACGTGAATTCCCTCAGCTTGACCTTAGCACCATTACTACTTTGAGGGTCACAGAGGAAATGGCTGCCAAAGCTGCTGAAGATTTGGACTCTGAAGCGGAAAGCGACAGCGAGCTGCTCGGTGACATCGAGGAGACCGGTGCTGATGACTGTTTGGACCTTCTTGCTGAACCCTCGGAAAAGGGCGAAGAGCACCGAGATGAATAGAGGCTTCTTTATCTCCTATATTGTATACCCCATGCCTCCAAGCTCGGTCTATAGTGAATTTCTTTTTTCCTCTTGTACTCGAAGTTTTATATCAATGAAATACACATTTTGACTTATCTTTGTTAAAAAATGTTCCAAGTGTAAATAATTCCTGAACTGACGAATTAAACCAAGTAGGAGTAGTAATGTGTAGGTTACCTCGAACTGTAAAGCTACCGAGCTGGACTACAAGTAGGGATAACCGAAATAAAATTTTTCCAACTGTAGGTTACCTCGAACTGCCGAGCTAACGAGCTAGACTAGGAGTAGGGGTAACTTCGCATAATGTATGCCGAAGTGAGCGGACATTATAGGGTATATACCCGACCTGTCTACGCATGGGTTACTCGCTTAGATGTCGGTTGTCCCTTAGAGCTAGTGGGTCCAACCTGTTATTACATGCCAAACTGGGAAGACGTCAGAGGGTTTATACCCGAACTGTCTATGCCTTAGACATGAGGGCTGATTTGCCTATACCGAAGAGGCGACTAGGACTTGTTTGTAGTGCCGAGGTCATATGTCAGCTCGGCATTATGGCCCTTGGGCTTATGGGAGTGACTAATAGTCCTCTCCCTAGTTCGGTGATCACAAATAGTATCTTCTTAGGTTGCCGACGTTCCACACTCGAGGTATTTGTTTCCCTTCTAAGGTTTCAAGTTCGTACGTACCTTCCCCAAATACCCGTCTTACTCAGAACGGACCTTCCCAGTTCGGTCCGAGCTTACCAACATCGAGCTCAGGTGCCATAACCTTCCGAATAACTAGGTCGCCGACACGGAAGTGTCGCTTCTTGACCCGGGCATTATAGTATCGAGCTACTTTCTGCTGGTAAGCTGCAGTCCGAATGTATGCTAGGTTTCGTACTTCTTCCACCAGGTCTAGGTTAGTACGAAGCTCGTCATTGTTTTTCTCCTCGTCGTAGGCCTCCAAGCATAGCGTAGGCACCTCGATCTCTGCTAGGATCACTGCTTTCGTGTCGTAAGTGAGATTGAAGGGAGTCTTACCCATGGCAGTCTTGATAGTGGTTTGGTAGGTCCATAGCACACTGGGCAGTTCGTCCACCCACAGTCCTTTTGCTCAAGCTAAACGAGCTTTCAGTCCATGGAGTATGGCTATGTTGGTGACTTTTGCTTGCCTGTTTGCCTGGGGGTGTGCCACCGAGGTGAAGTTTTGCTGTATTCCCATCTCGACAC